TGTTTTTAGGCAGGAAACAGACTCACTCTTAATAGTCCCCACCTTGGTCACCTTTTCTGTTCAGGAGCTCAAGCCATGTGATCCCGTTCACCATTAAACCATCTTTCTAAGCAGCCTCCATGTTTCCAGTGTCTCTTTCTTTCCCCACTCGGAACTGAACTCAGAAGGACATTTCTTCCAACATTCCCTAATCTGAAATACTGAACAAAGAAACAGATATCAGTTTCGGTTAGAAGAACTCAAAGGAGGGAATTTATAGTATTAAAATCTTTGTAGTTGGTATCAAAAGTCTTCTGGAAAAAAATAAGAGTTTGGAAATGGTCTTGCAAATAACAGACAGACAGATGACACTTAAAATCAAGTTATTTAATTTATGCAGATGGAATTTATTGGTTAGATGGACTGGGCCAGCAATCAAAAACAGTTATGTGGTTGTCTTGAGAGTGACCAAGAATAGCCTTCAATGGTAAGAAAAAGATGTTATCTCTGCCCTCTGTCCAAACAATGCATACTGGTGGAAAACTTTCTCTGTTGATGCTTTCCCCACCCCATTCTTCCAATTTAAATGGAAGAGGCATGGTCGCTGTACTTAGCCTCATCCCCCACCTTCTTGTGTGCTGATGCCTAAATTTCACTGGCCTTTAAGGGAGCCCAAATCTCTCAAAGGACAGCATGTCCTGTATGAGCACACATTGTTATAGAGAAGGACTTTGCAATTCAAAAATGTCCTTGCTTTGCCAGAACATTATCAGCTGTAGCAATCTCACAAATCTGGTCAATGTGCAAAGAGATAAGGAGACATGTTGTTGAAGGCATCTTTTGGGGGCGATTTACAATTTATCTCAATTCTTTTGGGGAAGTTGCTACCTGTGCTGAGCCTCTCCTGATTGAATTCTGATTGTAATGAGTAAGGGAGTTTGTAATAGGATTGCTGGCAAATCCGATTTTAAAAACATTTATCCTATTTGTTGAGATCAAGCCATTCAATATTGTTTGGTAAGATTGTAGAAAGTTGGCACCCACCCCTCTCCTAGAAGAATGAAATACTTTGANCTAACCACTGCGCCACCTCGGCTCTTCACTTAACATCCGTGTTACTAACTTAACAACTGCAGTGGCTCGCTTAACAACTGCTGCAAGAAAGTTTGTAAAACGGACAAAAGGCACTTCAAACAAATGCTTCGCTTAGCGACAGAAATTTTGGGCCCAGTTGTGGTCGTTGCCGTTGTAATTCATTTTGGATTCTTGGTTTGTTTGATCTTAGTTATAGGACTAAGACTCCCACAACTAAAAATAGCAATTATGCATTCTTGCCCATAGCGTAGCACCGTTCAGAAAGAAAAATGCTGAGAAGGAGCAATTTAGAGAAGCCGTTCTTCTCAAGCTCAGCTTTCAATACATAAATAGCGATACACTTGGCTGAAACTCTGAAATTGATCCACACTTCAGCTAAAAATATTAAGCCAATCTGGTTCCATTGGTTTTTAATATGATAGGGTTTCAGTAGCACTAAATCATCTTAAAATCCAGGCACCTGGTTTACGTGGGTTTTGCAATAGACTTTCATATGCTTAGAAGTTAAATAGCTACTTGAATTCTTAAAGCTTTCCAGGGACTAAAACTAATAAAACGATTGGATATGATAACCCCTTTTTAAATAACTCCCCTAATTCTATCTCAACTTCTCAATTTGGACTCTATCGGATCTCCATCATGAGTCTTTTGGCAATCTAGGATGGCAATTTATCAAGAGCTGAGTAACAATAGTGAACATTTGGTTATAATAATTAACAGTTAACCGGATGCCATGTATTTTCCTTCAATTTGGTGGACTGCATATTGTACAGATTTGATTAACGTGTTATAATTTGATTAGAGTGAGAGAGAAAACTTGTTCCTTCTGATTGTGCAAACCGCACCTTGTGAATCCTTACAAAACCTTATCCCTTCCAGAATTTGCAATACAGTAGGCAATATGCTCATTTTTGCTCAAAAGCAATAAAAAAGAAGAGTGCCTTAAAAGAACGGGGATAGACCACCAGGTGATTTGAGCTAACCCCCAAGGCACTCAGTTTCGATGGCCAATGGCAAGAGATTGTGAGAGTTGTAGTATCTAGTCGTAACTTATAAAGCCCTTCATGGTATTGGANCCTCCAGCAACCCCTGGAGACCCAGGAACCCCCTCCAGCAACCCCTGGAGACCCAGGAACCCCCTCCAGCAACCCCCGGAGACCCAGGAACCCCCTCCAGCAACCCCCGGAGACCCAGGAACCCCCTCCAGCAACCCCTGGAGACCCAGGAACCATCATCCCCTGCCCGTCCTAAGGGTAGGGTCGGGCAGAAAGGGGTTGGGCGTGTTTTTTTGGGGGGGGTCGCAAGAAGCATCAGCCGGCGACAGTTTTTTCTCTCTCTCTTCCTTGGCCCAGATGGGACGCACCCTCGGATCCCCCGTCTCGGCTTGCGCCCCTTTCCGCGCCGCGCGTGTTTTCATTGTTATGCTCCCCCACCCCACCCCTGGCGTTCAATCTCCCCTCCTCTTATTTCTTTCTTCCTCTCCCGTCTCCCGTGTCTCTCTCAGATCCGGCGATCCCTGCTCTCGCCGCGCCCTGTCATTGATGGGAAATCAACTGGATCGCATCACTCACCTGAGTTACAGCGAGCTGCCGACCGGGGACCCCTCGGGGATCGAGAAGGACGAGCTGCGCGTCGGCGTGGCTTACTTCTTCTCCGACGAGGAGGAGGATCTGGACGAGCGAGGCCAGCCGGATAAGTACTGCGTGAAGGGCTCGAGCAGCCCGGCTCAAGAGTCCCCCACCCGACACCACCACCACCACCACCACGCGCCGCAGCTGGCGCTGAGCGAGACCCAGTTCTCCGCCTTCCGCGGCCAGGAATGCATCTTCTCCAAGGTGAGCGGAGACTCGCAGACTGGCGATTTGAGCGTCTCCCCGGCGTCTTCCCTGCCTGCCCTGTGCAAGCCGGGAGACCTGCTGGAGCTGCTCTACCTGGGGCCGTCCGACCACCCTCCGCCGCCCCCGCAGTGGGCCGTCTACGTGGGCAACGCTCAGATCATCCACTTGCACCAGGGCCAGATACGGCAGGACAGCTTGTACGAGGCGGCGGCCGCCGGCAACGTGGGCCGGGTGGTGAGTAGCTGGTACCGCTTCCGCCCCCTGGTGGCCGAGCTGGTCGTGCAGAACGCTTGCAGCCACCTGGGCTTAAAGAGCCCCGAGATCTGCTGGACGAACTCGGAGAGCTTCGCCGCTTGGTGCCGCTTCGGCAAACGGGAGTTCAAAGCCGGCGGCGAGCTCCAGCCGGCCTCGGGCTCTCAGCCTCAGCAGCAATACTATCTCAAGATCCACCTGGCGGACAGCAAGGGACACACCGTGCGCTTCCAAAGCTTGGAGGACCTCATTAGGGAGAAACGCAGGATCGATGCCAGCGGGAAACTGAGGGTGATCCAAGAACTGGCCATGGTGGACGATGGCAAAGAATGATAAGCGCCAGCGGGGAGAAGGGAGAGCCTGTTTGCTGGGCTTCTCCCACCTTTGCTCATCCTCCTCCTCCTCCTCCGGTCTTAACGGAGGGAACCCCCCTTTGCAAACCAAACCAGCGGCTGCCCTTCTCTTGGCCTCGGCCGGAGGTCGTTCCGCCTCTCGCCAACCGGGATCGCCGTCGCTGTGATCCCGACGACCCGGAGGGAAGGGTGGAGACGGGTGGTGCCAGCCAACGCGATGAGCAAAATGTGCGGACAAAGTCACTCCATGTTCATCATATTTCCCATCCTGCTTAAATAAAAAAAGATGTTTAAAAAAAAATAACCCCCCTTTTTTTTCCTTTAAAAGAAAAAAACGTTCCTGGCTTTAATTCCTAAGAACCATAGTGATTTTTTGTTGTTGTTGTTAAGGTAAAAATGGAGAATAGTTTATTTGGAGGGTTCTGCCTGTTCTTGTGCGTGCAAGAACTTTTGGTGGGGTGTTGATGTGGGGGAGGGAGGGCAACTTGGTGCCCTCTTGATATATTGGCTGCAGTTGACCTTGGCCTTGATGCTTTGAAGTCCACTATGCCCAGAGGGAGGGCAGTTTACTCATTTACAGCCTGGCAACTTTATGGGATGATAAATCTTGTTGTAGAATTACTCACCGGGTGTTTTTAAAAATCACTTTCCTGAAAGCTCTTTATCAGTTTTCCAGAGTGTTAAGACGGATATAAACATGGAGTAGAATTGTGAAGGGGGGAAAATAGCCATCTGATGCAAACGTACTTTGTTTTCTGAGTAAGCATGTAGAGCATGCATTGCAATAGCAGTTTGAGTTCTGGATCTGACTTTTATGCAGCCACTGTGGCCACCAGGACAATTACAGTCCCAGGGAGATACAATCTTAATCTGTTTGGGATGGCATTAGGTAGTGAAGGGTTGTGTAGCCGAGGTGGCGCAGTGGTTAGGGTGCAGTACTGCAGGCCACTTCAGCTGACTGTTATCTGGAGTTCGGCGGTTCAAATCTCACCGGCTCAAAGGTTGACCCAGCCTTCCATCCTTCCGAGGTGGGTAAAATGAGGACCCGGATTGTTGTTGGGGACGATATGCTGACTCTGTAAACCGCTTAGAGAGGGCTGAAAGCCCTATGAAGCGGTATATAAGTCTAACTATTGCTATTATAAGTCTAACTATTGCTATCTTGTTACCATGTCTCTCCCAGTCATGAATATTCTAACACATTTTATGACTTATAGAACGTAAAATAACAGAGTTGGAAGGAGACCTTGGAGGTCTTCTAGTCCTGGAAGAGGAGACCATTTCAGACAACTGGTTGTCTATTATCTTCTGAAAAACCTGAAGTGTTGGAGCACCCACAACCTCTGGAGGAAAGATGTTCCACTGACTAATCAACAAAATAAGAGAGTCGGAAGGGACCTTGAAGATCTTCTAGTCCAACCCCATGCTAGAGCATGAGACACTATACTGGTTGTCTATGCTCATATACCTCCAGGAATGGAGAACCTGCAACTTCTGGTTGCAAGTTGTTACA